GAAGCGTGAGTTAGTTTTAGGTCTATGAGCAGCCTGGAGAAAAGACAGAAGGAAAAAAAAAAGGAAGAAGAATGACAAGCTATGTATAACGTAATATCTACGGGGGAAAACGTGACTCAAACTTAAGAAATAGACATCGGCAAGAGTACACGCACACAAACAAGCAATGTTTACCGAGTTGGCCAAGGTAACACAGGGGTAGGACAGGGTATAAGAAAAGGTCTGGGGAAACACCTTCGTAAATAGGAAAGTATCAATGAGAATGCCAGGTCTAATGGCATAGATATCAGGCTACAATATATGCTCACTTCATTATGTCCGCTGGAAATTCCGTGAGGTAGGTTTCTAGAGCATTCACCTAAACAGAACTGGTAGCAGAAGTAACTACTGTTATTTTTCTCCACTCACACACACACTAAGCCACACACCTACTCACTCACACTAAATCACACTGTACTTTCATTCCCGAACAACAACCGGTGGGAAAGTATTTCGGCAACTCCGCAGCGCAGAAACTCAAAGAGTACTTGTAGACATTTTTGGCAACAGTGTTTATTTTGGTTGGCTCCACAACCGTGCACCGCCCTCCCGTCCCTCCCCTCCCGTGTCAGTGACGTCACAGTCGCTAACACGGTTCGCGTAGGCATAATGCTTGTTCCAGAGTTACCCAGGGTTAGGATCTTGTGGAAAACACACGCCCACACACACACATGCACCAACACGCGTGCACGCACACATACAGGCGTGCACCTCCCCCCCCCCCCCACCCACACACGCAATACTTGAACACGAAGAAGACCCACAATAAACTCATATTTCAGTTCCTTTGACGATTTTCGTTGTGATACGCACATTTTTGGGAGCAGGGCAGTAAGACAGTCAATATATCAATAATCCAATCGCAGAGTTCCCATTCGGATGGTACCAGTAACAGTCTGACTGTGTTTGTCTTGTCTTTGGTCTCAATGTGCAGTATCGGTCAGATTCTCTGGCCACTGCCAGCTAAACCGTTCTCCCCAGACCACGATGACCTGTTTGTCACAAACACCACTAAACCAACACGCTCCGACAACAGAGCTGGGCTACAGACCCAGCATCACTGATAGATGTTAACAATCTAATGTTGTTTCTGTTTTGACATATACCAGTAAAAGTTCGATAAACAGAAGGGACAGTTAAACGAACTTGAAAAAAAAAAATATATGTGAGGAAATTGCTGAACATTACCTAAAATAAATTTATTAAAAAAAAAAACATGAACAAACCTGAGAGATTTTAGGACAACCGACTGTTTCAAAATTTAGAAGAAGAAAGTAGGAAGGGTAAAAAAGAAGATCCTGGTACAATCTAAGGTGTGAGCAGATTCAGGGGCTGAAACTGGACATAAGAGGTTTCAGGTGGCCAGGAGGTCCAAGAGAGACCACACAACGGATGTCAAGGAGATACCGAGGTGCCGGATTGTACACGATGTCGGAAAGATTGCGCATGACAGAACAGAATATAGGAATCTACTGCAGACCCTATGGGAGGTATAAACAGCATCACAGGATAATAATGGCCATGAAATGTATACACACACATAAACTCAAACCAGTCCAGGGGACACATGTGTCCGCTAGGATTCTTGATAATTATGGAAATCAAGTCTTTGTCTAAACGGGGACAGGCATGCAGACAAATAGACAGACAGGTTTCCATTTGCCCCATCTGTCTTACAACAGTAAAAAAAAAAAAAATGTCACGTATCAAGCCAAATTTGGAAACACTTGGCTATCTCATTAAGGACAAACAGACCAATTATAAAAGTAATCTTGACACCAGTCTTGTGCTATCAGTGTCAGACCTGGATATTGAATACGCAAGAATACGCAAGAAAACTGGCCACCTGCGACATGAGATGTTTGAGAATGGTCGTGAACATAGAAGAGATCATGTGAGAAAGGAAGACATTACAAAACTATTCTTGCGACACCTATAATTAAATTTACTGGGAAAAAAGGGACTGAAATGGTTTTGCTATTAAATGATAATGATATTACCAACGAGCGCGAACAATATAAAAGTGGAACCACCAAGGGATAAGAGACGACCAATGAAGAAGATGCACTGAAAGAGTCACTAATAAGAAGCATACTGTGACCCCAAGCGGCGCAATGCAAAATATGGACAAAAGAAAGAAAGAAAGAAAAAAAAAGCGTTAACAACTCCCTCTGTCTCCCTTCCTCTTCACTCTCTCGTGTATTTGCTACAGAAACTTTAGAAACGCTAATTAGTTGCAAGATCCGGTAGCCACTACAGATACACAAGTAAGGTCATGTCAAGCAAAGCCAATGTAAGGTTTTTTTTTCTCTGATAAGGGTATCCAATACAGGAAACATGGGTAATATAAAGAAATGTAGAGACAGATTTTCACTTGTGGGTACGGGTATCCACAATAGAATAATAAATAAAAGCGGATAAGTTCTGACACTTTCATGGTACATTCAATCAGTACTATACCACTCGATAGTCAAGTCTTCTCCATATACAGTCGTAATTGTAACAGACTCTAAAAGCATGCCGAGAAATGTGAAGACAGGGATGCTTCAAGCAGAGTGGCAAGCTTCACTGGGAAGGTCATGGGTAGTGAGCATACTTTGTTCTCTCCAGGATTTGACGGAGTGATGGGTAATGAACAGGCAGATAGGTTGTCTGGATTTGTACCACTGGGTGGTGAATTGACAAGGCAGACATGGTCAAGGCCCTTTGAGAACAATCAACGGAATCAGTAGAGAAACAAGATTATTGTGGCCTGGAGAGAATGAGGCACCTGAGTGTAACCAGAGGGTCTGGCCGGCTCACTACACTCAGAGGAAAGGCAAGACGATCATATAACCAGATTGTGACCGGTACCATCAGTATGGAACTCTGCGTTGGCTGCTAAAAATGAGGACGGAGCACGCTTGGGAATGCCCCGAGTGCTGTGATGTCAATTCTTGACTCAACTCACCTCAACTTATACTCCATATAGTCAGTCACACTCCATAGTCAGTCACGGCAAAATGAATAAATGACCAAAAATGATTACATTGTCGCGTTGTCTTATGTTTTGTTTATTTTGCCTGCTGCCTTTTTGTGCAAGTCTCTGAAGGCTTTCATGAGAGTCCAGTATAACCCTCTTATCTGTGGCATCCCCATGGTTGATGTTCACCCTTCTCCTCCTTTTGTGTTTTTTCTTCTTCTTCTTCACGTTCACAAGCTGTAGCTCGGATTGGAAAAGTTCTGGTTGTTCGCCCCCTTCTGGACTTTAGTCCTGTTCAAGAACCTGAGTGCTGCGTGCAACTCAGTTTCACAGATATGATTTTCTTGTATGCAGATTGTTGCTTCCCTTGCCTCCCCAGGCTTCAAAGGAGACTCCCAATTAGTCGACTTTTACGACATGCTTGTTGGGGAGACAGTGGGTCTGTTCTTAATTTCCACACATTGGGGTGCTAGAACCCACACAGAGACCTTTAGTGTTTAGACACCTATGCCAGCCAGCCAAGCACAGCAATGAGATCTGCTGCCTTCACAAACAGGAGATCCATGCGGGTGTCATCTTCCCCTGGCTCTGTATAGATAATATTTGTTCAGCCTGGATCTCTGTGACAGTTGGTGCTAGGACATTCTCGTCCCGTGGCCAAACCATCTCATCTGTTGATCTTTGATGCATTGTTTGACTGGTCCCTGTCCTAGCATTCTTTAAAAGTCCTCATTTGTAATTGTTATCTTTTCTTGCAACTCCTGCACTAAAACATCTCAGCTCTGATTCCCTGTATCGGTTCCAGTGCCATATTTTGGAGGAAACAAGAATAAACTCATGGCCTTCAAAACAAGCATGTCATATAAGGTGACTAATTTGAAGTGTTCCCTCCAAAGTCTGAGTGCATCTACCTGAGAAGCCAGGAACCAACAGTCTGAGTGCATCTACCTGAGAAGCCAGGAACCAACAGTCTGAGTGCATCTACCTGAGAAGCCAGGAACCAACAGTCTGAGTGCATCTACCTGAGAAGCCAGGAACCAACAGTCTGAGTGCATCTACCTGAGAAGCCAGGAACCAACAGTCTGAGTGCATCTACCTGAGAAGCCAGGAACCAACAGTCTGAGTGCATCTACCTGAGAAGCCAGGAACCAACAGTCTGAGTGCATCTACCTGAGAAACCAGGAACCAACAGTCTGAGTGCATCTACCTGAGAAGCGAGGAACCAACAATCTGAGTGCATCTTCATGAGAAGCCAGGAACCAACAGTCTGAGTGCATCTACCTGAGAAGAGAGGAACCAACAGTCTGAGTGCATCTTCATGAGAAGCCAGGAACCAACAGTCTGATTGCATCTACCTAAGAAGCCAGGAACCAACAGTCTGATTGCATCTACCTAAGAAGCCAGGAACCAACAGTCTGAGTGCATCTTCATGAGAAGCCAGGAACCAACAGTCTGATTGCATCTACCTGAGAAGCCAGGAACCAACAACCTACATACAATTAAGCCAGCATCTGTAAAAAGGATATTCATGTAAAGCTAACACTAGGGAACACGTTCATAATCCAGAAGTGGATGAAACCACAGAACTTTCTGCCGGAGTTTACATCTGGTGGACGTGAAGGAGAAGAAACCTCTGATGTTATGATTTTGCACCATTAGTTGTAGCAAGTGGCAGTGGTCATTAAGTTCCATGTAGGACTGCTGTCCATCCAATTAACAACTCAAGGATGAGAATTACACAGGATGAAACCACTGCTACTCTGTTAATATTACACAGTTAAATTAGGATAGCCCCTACGGTTGAAAGGTGAAATTTTTTTTAAAGCACCTTTTAGTTGTAGTAAGGGTCCATGCTTGACACTGGCAGTATAGAACTAACACGATGATTAGTATCAGAAACCTGAATGACCCCATAAATAATAATTAAAGACAACACATTCAGAGTGAGACAGACACAAATATTCCACAGAAATAATCAACACATTCAAAACATGCTTACCTGGAAGACGATAGGCTTTGATGTCTGTGGTGGCAGCGAGTCCCATCTCCTGACACCCACCGAAGTATTTCTCACGGAACTGTTGGACACACTGGTTGTGACAGCTTGGTCATTCATCAGAAAGTGCTGTCTTAGGGCAGTGACACTTGGAGATTGTGCCTTGGACTGTGAAGTGGCTGGCATCAACTGTGAGATGCCCGGAGATGCAGGTTTCTCGGTCAGTCTTGGTGATGGCACAGGGGGGTAAGTTGCTGCAGGTGATGGCGATGCTGAAATGTTATATGGTTCCACTGTTTCTGTAATAAATGAAGGGGTGAACGAAACTGAAGAAGAATGTGAAGTCGATGATGATAAAGTCGGATAATTTCTGTCTTTTTCTCCAGCATGTTCTATCAGCGCTGTCTCTGCATACCTAAGTGAAGCATTACTGCCAGAATGACTCAGATACTTTAGTGATGACGAACGAGCAAGTTTTTCCGTGTCACTAGAACTGGTAAACGCAGGCAAAACCGGCCTATATCCAGCAATAGGGCTCGAGGGGCGCAAATCACTGACCACTTCTTGAGACAATGATTTGGTTATTGCCTCCCTTAGAACAGTCTGGTCTGTGGTAGGGGATGTCCAAAGGGATTTAACACTCCCAGATGTCTTAATGTTGTGCACGTAAGTCGACTGTTTACTGCTTCTTCCAAGGTTCATAGAAGCAGACCTGCCAAGGTTTGTGACTCGCAGCGACGGAGATGCAGGATAAGGAGAAGATTCTATCACTTTAATTGATGGCGTTCTGGATATGTCTTTGTGTTTCTCTGTTAGTACATCTGGATTAGCACCTTGTTCGTTTCCTTGAATGTAAGTATTGTTGGACTCTGCGTTTCTTGGGTGAACATTTGATCTGGGAGGAACTATTATTGTGTTCCTGACAACACTCAAAGTCTGTGGATGATTGACAGTTGAGAGGAAATTCTGCATGTGTGAATTATTTGCTGATAAATCTGTTATGGCTTGGCCGACCATGAATCTTGACCTGCTGACAGTACTCAAACCAGGAGTGAAACTCTGAGCTCGCTGCACACCGTGGGATGATGCCCGTTGAATGACTGCTGCAATAATATCTGCAGGTCTTGGCTCAGAAAGTTTATGGGCTACTCTGTGCCTGGTCACTTTCTGTTGTGACGTTATGACCTGCTCATCCTTGGGCGCTGTCGTTTCTTCTGGTTGATATTCTGGGGGAAAAAAAGGAATTTGTTTAAACATCACAATATGTACTTGTAGAACTAACAAACTTGGAGCAAATGATGTGGCGAGTAAAGTGTGATTTAAAAAAAACAAAAACATGAACAAAACCAATGATTATGATTTTGGCATTGGGCTCATTAAACTCAGGACTATTAAAAAATGTTTTCTAGCTGACTTCGGGTATTGGTTGTCCTAATTAGTTATGCCTACCAAATTCCTATTTCCAGGTTCTCATTTGATTTATCTTTAAGTTCTCTTCAATTTCTACATTCACCCTTTCAATTGGTAACTTTTAGTCAACATTCATCAATTTTTACGCTGAGATTATTTTGCATTCTTTCTCCTATTTAGCTCTAGTTTTCATTTTCTTTAAATAATTTTTTTTTTAAAAGACCTTTTTCCAGACCATTAGGCAAATTGGTTACACAGTGCTAGACCTACATCACATAGACCAACTGGCACCTGGTGGGTGTGTGGTCAACATTAAGTCGACTGTCTTTACTTCCCATGACTTTACCTGCTACCCATTGTAGGCTGGTCAGTCTGGAAGCCAAGCTAATTTTTGCAGAAAAAATCCAGCTTGATGTGGATTTGAACCTATGATCTTCAGACCTGGGGCACAGCATTCAGCCGCTACACCATGGTAGCTCCTGCTGTAAATATTAATTGATCTTTGCTGTTTTATTTGAGAAACCAAATGACTGAAACTATTTCAAAACATTAATGGTTCTCATAAGATACCATTCTGCTTACTGCTGAAATAAATGTTTATTAACTCCTCCAGTCCCAAGGAATGCATCATGGGTTTACAGGTTCCTACCATGAAGCCCAATAAACACAAGATGCACCGACTACAGACGTCTCTGTACCACCCTTGGGGGGCCTCTGATGCTAAACCCTACCAGAAGTGAAAGGGTCAAATGAGTGAAATGAACTGCTGGTATCAACAGCTATAAGACTAAGAAGATAGTAATATATCGGGCATCCTTAGGAAAACGGACAGAAAATCTCCAACAGGCACTGAGTTGGGAAACAAATGGATTAAGGAAACTAAAACAACTAAGAAAAACCCTGTGAGAAGCTTCTGGATTGGATTCCATCCATAATATTGAAGAGATTTCATAGGAAAAAAGAAAACAGGAACTCACATTAAGCCCTCACCAACACAACAGGAGGATGATAACAATTAAAGTTAGAGTGTAACAACTTTTGTTTTTAGCCATGCAGGATCAGCGGCCTCATCTTAAGGGAACAAAAGAATACACCCACTGCCCCCACCCCTTCCACCACCCTCATCAAGGAAGCATGCCATAAATGTTGACTAACTAGGGATGATTCGTTCAAAGTTGCCGTGCATCTACTTGAGAGATGAGGAACCAACAGTCTGCTTACAAATAAGCCAGATCTGTCAAATGGATGTGCATACAAAACTTAAGTTTTGGAACAAGACCAAAGTCCAGAAGTGGACAGACAGCCAGAACATTCCCTTGAGTTTTACAGCCAGTGAAAAAGAAAAAGAAGAAGCAACAGTTTTGAATGTTTGATATCCAGAATAAACACTTTGCTTTTTTCTCATAAAAGAGAAAACTACAACATTTTCTCAGATGTGGTGGCTTTTAGGTCTAATTACCTGTCCGTACCAGTAAACAAAACAATTCTACTTTTGGTGGTACCAGTAAACAAAACAATTCTACTTTTGGTGGTACCAGTAAACAAAACAATTCTATATTCAGTGGTACGGGTAAACAAACAATTCTACATTTAGTGGTACCAGGAAACAAAACAATTAACTGGACTAATTATTGCCTGCCATATTTCAGGTATCTCGTGAGATGCATTTAGAAAAAGCGAATGTTTCCCCTAGACTTTTATCGGCTATCCTCCGAATAACGGGCACAAAATATGGCGGCTGCAAAAAAAACCTAACAAAGACCTCAGTCAGGTGTCAACTGCACACTTCCGGCAACTTAATTTGCGAACTTCCGGCGAGTACTTCCACCGCTGAGAGTATCCCCCACGCCGCTCATGCGGCTAAACTAGATGGTTGGGACTCACAAGCAGCAGCTTCCGCATCTCCTGCAGCTTTGCTCGTGAGTCCCAGCCATCTAGTTTAGCCCCAATCTACGCCGTATGAGTGGCGTGGGGGAATACTCTCGGTGGTAGCGGTACCCACCAGAATATCGCAAATTAAGTCGCCGAAAGTGCCCAAATGACACGTGACTGAGGCCCTGTTTTTGGCCGCAATATTTTGCGCCTGTTATTGGAAGGATAGCCTTTTTTACAACTACAACAGTTTACTGTAGTTAGAAATGTGCACATTCCAGTGCTTGTGTGAATGTTTGGATGCTAATAATAATGTTGATGATTACTTGATACACGAATCAAATGATGTATAAAAGGAGGGAGACTAGAAGGGCAGAATATTAGATGTGCCTGCGTGCCCTATTCTTAACACTTTGAAAATAAAGTTTGTTTGCTTGTTTGTTCATTACTACAATATCATTATATCATGAAGCACAAAAACTGAATCCTTTCCAATGAAATAGACAAGACATAGTGCAAAACACTTATGAGCCTAGCATCATATGTCTGATGTATCAGTGTGGTAAAAATGGTCTGTACTTGGCTTACATTTATACACCTTTCAAGACAAAATGGTAAAAAGTAAAAAAAAAAAAAATATTACTTTGATGCACAACTTGAACGTAGCAAAGGCAGGACATTTCAGAAACTTGATTTTTGGCCACACATTCATAAGAGCCACTGTCCTGAGGAGTTGCGTGTGTGAGCTCTAGCTTGGCCACACCATTGTGGAAGGACTGAGAACAACTGCTTGATGTCCTCAACAGTCTGCCATCTTTTTTCCACAAGACAACAGGAAGAGGGGTGCCAGTGATTTCACACTGAAGTACAATACGTTCACCAGACACGGCACTTTGATTTTCAATCTTGGAAATAAAATGAGGTGCTTGGTTTTTATCTGAAAGAAAAAGTAAAAGAGATACAATTAATAATAGCATGATTGTGTCCAGTGTCAGTGGTGGTAATCTTCTACTCCAGCATTGCAAGCCTCTGAGGTTTGTTGCTGCAGCAGATATCACCCACCTCCATTCATCTCTCTGGTTGGCCTTTTCTTTCCAGTGGGTGGCACCAAGTGTTTGTAGGTGTTCTCTCCATCATCTTTTTGGTCTGCCTTGTGGTCTATGACCATTCAGCTCCCTTGTGTATTTGGTTTTTCTTCTCTGTCCTCTGATATTCTTTCAATATGCCCCAGCCATTTCAGTCTATTAGCTCTCAAAAACTCTCCATTCCATGTTGTTTGCATCTTTGATGTGTCCAAAGATTCATCATAAGATCTGTTTTTGAAACTTTGTAATAACGCTTCATCTCTTTTAGTTGTGCTCCAATGTTTCAGAGCCATAAAAAGACTGGTTTTATCAACCTTGTGGTCAGATTTTATGTTTTTATAGACAAGAAATGGATCCTGGCCTGTTTTCCTGCACGGGACATTTCGATGTGTCAGGTAATGAGCAGTCTGACAGAATGGCTGCTGTCACTTCTCTGGGTGGTAAGCTCTGGGATTAAGTGCATAGTGTGGCAAAACAGAGTATTGGTAATCACCTGAGAAACTGATGAAATGGGTTTGGGGGAGGAGGTGGGGGGGGGGGGGGGATCTGGATGGCACAAAACAGGCAGGGAAAAAGACAAGCATACTTCTAATCAGACAGCATCTGGGCATGGGGGAAAACGGTCTGAGCTCTCATAAACTCTCTGTTTGCAAAAGAGGAAGGGGAGTAAGATAAGGAGGGACTAAGCTCCCAAGAACTTGTTGGCTAATGAGAGGGGAAATGAGGGAAAGAGGGGCTGAGCTCCAATTAAACCTTTGTTGGCTAATGAGGAAGGGGAGTGAATGAAGGAGGGGCTAAGCTCCCATGAACTTGGCTAGTGAGGAGGGGGAGGGGCTAAGCTCCTAGGAAATTTGTTGTTGATTAATGAGGAAGTCAATTAAGAACATGTGAGAATATTCTTAGTGCAATAATATCAATCAAAGATTCATTTATTCACGGTCCTAGTCTACTGACAACTCAAATTTCTAAAGCCGCAATAGTATGCTCCAACTTTTATGTTATGGTTCTGGTTCAATTTCATAGAAGACACATTATGAATGAAGACATAAAACCTAACAACCCATAGCTGCATTAATGTTTTTCTTCCTTTGAATACTCTTCATCCAATATAATATCACTTTTTACAACCCTGCACAAAATATAGCCAGCGAGACCAGACCATATTCACTCAGGCAGAACAATAACTAGAACAATAACCAGAACAGAAGCCTCCCAGCAAGTTCTCAGCGTGGCACTCAAGCAGAACCAGCAACCTCTCAACCAGCAACCTCTCAACCAGCAACCTCTCAACCAGCAACCTCTCAACCAGCAACCTCTCAACCAGCAACCTCTCAACCAGCAATCTTATTTCATTAAGGAACTGAAACACATAAGCTAGGGAGTTTAAAAAGTATGGAGTCAGAGTCAAATAATAAAATATGCAATTTCCTGCCCAAGATCAAACATAGTTTCATTTTTTTTTAATTTGCATGGATTATGTTTTAATTTTAGCTAGTAATGAGGTTTTATTTCTTAAATCAGCCTGAAGAGAACTGTTGAGAACAAGGGATACTGGAGTAACATGAGGAAGTTTTAGCACAAATCTTCTGTCTGACTAATGAGACAATTATGCTATGGTTTCTGTTTGAGAGTAGTTTTAGGAAAGCTACTGTATTGTTCTGTGCAGATAAATTTATATGATCATTATCATGTGCTTTGCTTTCATGAATGTAAACCATATGGAGAAGAGAAGTAAAGAAAGGAGATAAAAATATGAAAAAGAAGAATAAGAAGGAGGAGGAGGAAAAAGAGAAGAAAAAGAATGAATCATAATCTCACATGATCACATGTCTGAGATCAGCTCTATTTCTTCCCAGTTATGTCAACAGGATATTTATATTTCTATCTACCCTTTGATGATGTCCCATCAAAATTATAAGTTTTACTAACTTTTCAAATAAATGTATTTCTCATTCATCAATTCCTAAAAATGGCTTCAACTCCCTATGTCTTATTTCTCTGATGAATTTCATGGTTTTTATGTTTCTTAAAGACTGCCTCCTTCATTCTTCATGGTATTCTTTGTTCTTGCTCTCAGAAACCAAACTTTACCACCTCAAGATGTTTCTCATACTATCTGCATGTTGTCCTTATTTCATATGCACACAACTGTATAGAGTCTACATTTCACTGTAGCTTACTTTGTGCTCTGCATACAACAGTTTGTAATTTGTAAATTTGTTTGCCATTTTGTAAAAGACTTCACAAACAAAATATAAATAACCTTGGACAGTGATAATGGCATCTATGGACACTTGTCCTGCTGGGTTCTCTGCCAGACACATGTAACATCCTGTGTCCTGAAATCTCATGGTAGAAATCTGCAAACTGGCAACTCTCCCATCATAACATGCACTGAGAAATAAATAACACAAAAAAGTATCAGGTTATAATGTAAGCCAGGACATTCACTGTTATCATGAATATTTTGACAATTGTTGTAATCATGTAAATAGATCTCTACATGAGTAAAAGAGCACACTAAAGTTACACAACTACAGCTTTTGAACATGTTAACAAATAATGGAATATGTGATCAAGAGCAAAATATAAGTATTATAAAGCAGTAGAAAAACTATGCTGGACTGGGTGAGGCCTGAGTTATCATGGCTGAGATCTGGATTACTATGGCTGAGGCTTGAGTTGTAACAGCTGAGACCTGGATTACCAATACTGAGACCTGGATTACCATGGCTGAAACTTGGATTACCATAGCTGAGACGTGGATTACCATGGCTAATACTTGGATTGCCATGGCTAAGGCTAGGATTACCATAGCTGAGGCTTGGATTACCATGGCTGAGGCCTGTATTACCATAGCTGAGGCCTGGATTACCATAGCTGAGGCCTGTATTGCCATGGCTGAAGCCTGTATTACCATAGCTGAGGCCTGGATTACCATAGCTGAGGCCTGTATTACCAAAAAAAAAACAAAGTTTAAAAATTCTTGTGAATAGAAAGGTAAAGGAAACCATTGTCCATTTTAGAGATCATCTTCATCGCACATCAGACATGACTGTAAGTGCTTCGATCTCCTCCTGAGTTCTCCAAGTGTTTTAGGCTAACAACTCCAATTCAGCTGTGGCTGATGTAACGACGGGTTGCTCCCGCATGATTTTCCTGTTTCACGGCTCCAGTTAATACATCTAGGGTATGCAGTCGATTCAGTAAAAAATCATCTTTCACGAAAGTGAAAGCCTCACAGCGTTCAGTCTTCTGTATGGTACTGATGATGTCTCTCCTCTCCATAGAGGGCCTACTCTTGGTAGTAGCATTGCCAGCCAGAGGGTCTGCTCTCTCCTTGCCTTTCACATCCACATAACCTGGGACAAAAATGAAGATGATTTTGTAAAATGCTGCGCACTGAATCAGATGGAGCCATTGCTTCTCTATGTACCCTGCCTTGATATTCTATAGCATGCTGAGTCGCTGAGATGAAATAAGGTCTGGATTACCGTGGCTGAGGCCTGGATTAATATTGGCTGAGGCCTGGATTACCATGGCTGAGGCCTGGACTACCATGGCTGAGGCCTTGATTACCATGGCTGAGAGGCTGGATTACCATGGCTGAGAGGCTGGATTACCATGGCTGAGAGGCTGGATTACCAAGGCTGAGAGGCTGGACTACCATGGCTGAGGCCTGGATTACCATGGCTGAGAGACTGGATTACCATGGCTGAGAGGCTGGATTACCATGGCTGAGAGGCTGGACTACCATGGCTGAGGCCTGGATTACCATGGCTGAGAGGCTGGATTACCATGGCTGAGAGGCTGGATTACCATGGCTGAGAGGCTGGACTACCATGGCTGAGGCCTGGATTACGATGGCTGAGGCCTGTATTACCATAGCTGAGGCCTGGATTACCATGGCTGAGGCATTGATTACCATGGCTGAGGCCTGGATTAATATTGGCTGAGGCCTGGATTATGATACCTGAGGCCTGGATTACCATGGCTGAGAGCTGGATTATGATACCTGAGGCCTGGATTACCATGGCTGATAGGCTGGATTACCATGGCTGAGGCCTGGATCAATATTGGTTGAGGGCTGGACTACCATGGCTGAGGCCTGGACTACCATGGCTGAGAGGCTGGACTACCATGGCTGAGGCCTGGACTACCATGGCTGAGAGGCTGGATTACCATGGCTGAGAGGCTGGACTACCATGGCTGAGGCCTTGACTACCATGGCTGAGAGGCTGGACTACCATACCTGAGAGGCTGGACTACCATGGCTGAGAGGCTGGACTACCATGGCTGAGAGGCTGGACTACCATGGCTGAGGCCTGGACTACTATGGCTGAGAGGCTGGACTACCATGGATCAGGCCTAGATTACCATGGCTAAGATCTGGATTATCATAGCTAAGACCTGGATTGCCATAGCTGAGACCTGGATTGCCATAGCTGAGACATGGATTGCCAAAGCTGAGACCTGGATTAGCTGAGCAAGCATGCATTTATCAACTTCTGACATCATACAAGAGACAAGTTCATACAGGTATAGTTGCAAGCTATAACAACCTGTATGTTAGAGAGTCCCCGAGGTGGCGGCCATCTTTGAGCCAGGTGATAGTTGGTTCTGGAGACCCAATGACATCACATTCTAATAATAGCATCTCGCCTTCCAGGACTGCTCTACTGGTCAGTTTGGTCAAGAACATGGGAACCACAACAGTCTCCTGGTCACAAGCTGTGGACACAGAATATTGCATCTTTCATAGAAAACTGTTTCAAAAATTATTTTCTACAAAGAATAAAATGTTAGAAGAATGCAAGAAAACTTAAATAATGAAAGTAAACTGGTTCAAAGGTCTAGGTTTCAGCTATGTAATGAGGCAGATTTTTGTTTCAAAACTGATTTCAGCTTCCAGATTGCTATGCTTTCAACACTCATGTGGTTCTACTCAACATTGTGGTATTGGGATAGAGCATTTGTCATTCACTTATATGGTACTGGCATCCATCATCACTTATGTGATACTAGGATATGAGACCTATCAACACTTGTGTGGTACTGGGATATGGGACCTATCAACACTTATGTGGTACTGGAAAATGGCATCTGTCAACACTTATGTGGTACTGGGATGTGGCATCCATCACCACTTGTGTGGTACTGGGATATGGCATCCATCACCACTTGTGTGGTACTGGGATGTGGCATCCATCAACACTTATGTGGTACTGGGATATGGCATCCATCACCACTATCCCAGTACCACACAAGTGTTGATAGGTCCCATATCCCAGTACCACATAAGTGTTGATAGGTCCCATATCCCAGTACCACACAAGTGTTGATAGGTCCCATATCCCAGTACCACATAAGTGTTGATAGGTCCCATATCCCAGTACCACATAAGTGTTGATAGGTCCCATATCCCATTATCACATAAGTGGTGATGGATGCCATATCCCAGTACCACACAATCTAGATGCTGGTATTCATGACCTCATATTTGTCATCTGCTGTGAGTCTTGTGTGCTGTCTCAATGCTGGTATTCATGACCTCATATATGTCATCTGGTGTGAGTCTTGTGTGCTGTCTGGATGCTGGTATTCATGACCTCATATATGTCATCTGCTGTGAGTCTTGTGTGCTGTCTCAATGCTGGTATTCATGACCTCACATATGTCATCTGGTGTGAGTCTTGTGTGCTGTCTGGATGCTGGTATTCATGACCTCATATACGTCATCTGCTGTGAGTCTCATGTGCTGTCTGGATGCTGGTATTCATGACCTCACATATGTCATCTGGTGTGAGTCTTGTGTACTGTCTCAATGCTGGTATTCATGACCTCATATATGTCATCTGCTGTGAGTCTCATGTGCTGTCTGGATGCTGGTATTCATGACCTCATATATGTCATCTGCTGTGAGTCTTGTGTGCTGTCTCAATGCTGGTATTCATGACCTCATATCTGTCATCTGCTGTGAGTCTCATGTGCTGTCTGGATGCTGGTATTCATGACCTCATATATGTGATCTGCTGTGAGTCTCATGTGCTGTCTGGATGCTGGTATTCATGACCTCATATATGTCATCTGGTGTGAGTCTTGTGTGCTGTCTGGATGCTGGTATTGATGACCTCATATATGTGATCTGCTGTGAGTCTCATGTGCTGTCTGGATGCTGGTATTCATGACCTCATATATGTCATCTGGTGTGAGTCTTGTGTGCTGTCTAGTTGCTGGTATTCAAGGCCTCATATATGTGATCTGCTGTGAGTCTCGTGTGCTGTCTGGATGCTGGTATTCATGACCTCATATATGTGATCTGCTGTGAGTCTTGTGTGCTGTCTAGATGCTGGTATTCAATGCCTCATATATGTGATCTGGTGTGAGTCTCATGTGCTGTCTAGATGCTGGTATTCATGACCTCATATATGTCATCTGGTGTGAGTCTCGTGTGCTGTCTAGATGCTGGTATTCAAGGCCTCATATATGTGATCTGGTGTGATTCTCGTGTGATGTCTAGATGCTGGTATTCAATGCCTCATATATGTCATCTGCTGTGAGTCTCGTGTGCTGTCTAGATGCTGGTATTCAATGCCTCATATATGTGATCTGCTGTGAGTCTCGTGTGCTGTCTAGATGCTGGTATTCAATGCCTCATATATGTCATCTGCTGTGAGTCTCGTGTGCTGTCTGGATGCTGGTATTCAAGGCCTCATATATGTGATCTGGTGTGAGTCTCGTGTGCTGTCTAGATGCTGGTATTCAATGCCTCATATATGTGATCTGGTGTGTCTCGTGTGCTGTCTAGATGCTGGTATTCAATGCCTCAGATATGTGATCTGGTGTGAGTCTCGTGTGCTGTCTAGATGCTGGTATTCAATGCCTCATATATGTGATCTGCTGTGAGTCTTGTGTGCTGTCTAGATGCTGGTATTCAATGCCTCATATATGTGATCTGGTGTGAGTCTCGTGTGCTGTCTAGATGCTGGTATTCAAGGCCTCATATATGTGATCTGGTGTGAGTCTCGTGTGCTGTCTAGATGCTGGTATTCAAGGCCTCATATATGTGATCTGCTGTGAGTCTCGTGTGATGTCTAGATGCTGGTATTCAAGGCCTCATATATGTGATCTGCTGTGAGTCTCGTGTGCTGTCTAGATGCTGGTATTCAAGGCCTCATATATGTGATCTGCTGTGAGTCTGGTGTGCTGTCTAGATGCTGGTATTCAAGGCCTCATATATGTGATCTGCTGTGAGTCTCGTGTGCTGTCTAGATGCTGGTATTCAAGGCCTCATATATGTGATCTGCTGTGAGTCTCGTGTGCTGTATAGATGCTGGTATTCAAGGCCTCATATATGTGATCTGGTGTGAGTCTTGTGTGCTGTCTGTATGCTGGTATTCATGACCTCACATATCATCTGGTGTGCTGTCTTGTATGCTTGTATTCACGGCCTCATATATTTCATCGATCCATTCCTTTATGAGTAACCTCTAGTTCTGTTTCCATTGTGTCTCAGTGAAAGGGCTCTCTATGGTGTACTACCTTGAGGTTGCCCTGACACATGTTCGAACCATTTGGTCTGCTGTATCTTGGTGTAGTTTGGCACTAGTTATGTCCAAAAGTGTTCTGCGATATCACCATTTCTTATCAGTCAGTGACAATAAGAAAAATACATGAGACTCTTATATGTGACAAAATGTCAGGTGACGTAATCAAGCAATAGCATGTGAGTGATGCAGACTTCAGAAGACAAATTAGCCATTCAATATTTAAATTAGTTCTATCGACATAGAAACATGTATATCTCCGCTGGGTTATTTGTATAATTTGACATAGAAACATGTATATCTCGGCTGGGGTATTTGTATAATTTGACAAAGAAACATGTATATCTCCGCTGGCGTATTTGTATAATTTGACATAGAAACATGTATATCTCCGCTGGGGTATTTGTATAATTTGACATAGAAACATGTATATCTCGGCTGGGGTATTTGTATAATTTGACAAAGAAACATGTATATCTCCGCTGGGGTATTTGTATAATTTGACATAGAAACATGTATATCTCCGCTGGGGTATTTGTATAATTTGACATAGAAACATGTATATCTCCGCTGGGAACGGATCTAGGGACCTGCAAGTGCTGGAACCAGTCCATTGTATTTTTCAAGATTGTTTTTTCCCCCCAGCCAGGCTGGCTGCCTGGCTGCCTAATCTAAACTGTTACAAAAGAAGCTGAATAAAGCATCAGAAGCACACAGGCAGACGACTTACACCAGATTTATACAACTCCCCACCACCCCCTTCTTTCCCTAAATGTTTACCAATGACATGAAGGGTGCAAGCTGTGCTTTGTTCTCCAAAACTGTTCTTGGCAATGCAGGTGTACTGGCCAGCATCGTCTAGGAACACCTCTGCAACCTGTAGTCTTGCTTCTCTCCCGTCATACGACTGTTTGAAGTCGGCGGAATTTCTCTTCAGGACGCCGTTGTGGTACCACTCCACGCAAACCGCGCCTGTCACGATGCAAGAGAACACGGTCGAGTGACCTTCTGTGACAGAGACATCAGACAGACGTTTCTCGAATGCAGGCAGTGTTTGGCACTGACCTGAAATAGGTAAATATACAAGCAACAACTATTTAATTCGTTCATGGAGTTGTAACCAAGATGTCAATACGAGTCACTTGTTCTTTTATTAATACGGGGCGCACAGTATGAGACGAGGAGCAGCCTTTACGGTGCCCCAATTATAACTTCTTTTGGAGTTGAACGGGGATCTAGGCCACTCTAATTGTCCCCCAGAACGAGATTCTTGTAGTCTCAGGGGTGGTGAAACCTTTAAGTAGCACCTCGGAGAGGAAACACAGACATTTGTGTGTGTCCTGAGAATACAAAGTAAAAGTTAAATAAACTTCCGACAGCCTCTATCATACACTTGGACAACTAGGCAGTAGGCTGACTGATTGACACGTTCAATCCCAGCACGACCGCACAACGAGCGATAAACACCCAGTGACACAAAGTGCTACCATTCGGATGAGAATAGCCCCGGCACAAGTCACAGAAACGCCATTCAACCGTTAGGTTATATTTATGACCTTCGACGACAGCACCGCGTTCCATGTTGGGGCGGATTACAACGATTAGCTACGCAAGGGGTATGTCATAACCACCACAGGGTATTGTTAAAGCGTTACAGTAGGATCACCGCATGGGGTAGCACTGCACATCTGGTGTAGCAGTAGGGTATAAGGATAACATTGCAAGTCTCGTGTAGTAGTAGGGTATCAGAGTAACATTGCAAGTCTCGTGTAGCAGTAGGGTATCAGGGTAATATTGTAAGTCTCGTGTAGCAGTAGGGTATCAGGGTAACATTGCAAGTCTCGTGTAGCAGTAGGGTATCAGGGTAATATTGCAAGTCTCGTGTAGTAGTAGGGTATCAGGGTAACACTGCAAGTCTCGTGTAGCAGTAAGGTATCAGGGTAACATTGCAAGTCTCGTGTAGTAGTAGGGTATCAGGGTAACATTGCAAGTCTCGTGTAGCAGTAGGGTATCAGGGTAATATTGCAAGTCTCGTGTAGCAGTAGGGTATCAGGGTAACATTGCAAGTCTCGTGTAGTAGTAGGGTATCAGGGTAATATTGCAAGTCTCGTGTAGTAGTAGGGTATCAGGGTAACATTGCAAGTCTCGTGTAGCAGTAGGGTATCAGGGTAATATTGCAAGTCTCGTGTAGTAGTAGGGTATCAGGGTAATATTGCAAGTCTCGTGTAGCAGTAGGGTATCAGGGTAATATTGCAAGTCTCGTGTAGCAGTAGGGTATCAGGGTAATATTGCAAGTCTCGTGTAGCAGTAGGGTATCAGGGTAACATTGCAAGTCTCGTGTAGCAGTAGGGTATCAGGGTAATATTGCAAGTCTCGTGTAGCAGTAGGGTATCAGGGTAACATTGCAAGTCTCGTGTAGCAGTAGGGTATCAGGGTAACATTGCAACTCTGATGTAGTAGTAGGGTATCAGAGTAACATTGCAAGTCTCGTGTAGTAGTAGGGTATCAGGGTAACATTGCAAGTCTCGTGTAGCAGTAGGGTATCAGGGTAACATTGCAAGTCTCGTGTAGCAGTAGGGTATCAGGGTAACATTGCAAGTCTCGTGTAGCAGTAGGGTATCAGGGTAATATTGCAAGTCTCGTGTAGTAGTAGGGTATCAGGGTAACATTGCAAGTCTGGTGTAGTAGTAGGGTATCAGGGTAACATTGCAACTCTGGTGTAGTAGTAGGGTATCAGAGTAACATTGCAACTCTGGTGTAGTAGTAGGGTATCAGAGTAACATTGCAACTCTGGTGTAGTAGTAGGGTATCAGAGTAACATTGCAACTCTGGTGTAGTAGTAGGGTATCAGAGTAACATTGCAACTCTGGTGCACCAGTGCAGCATCAGGCTAGCACTACAACACTAGTGTAAGAGTTCGCTGATTACAGCTTCAGGGTAGTATTTCAGCACCAAGAAAGATTTCAGCTTAGGGGCTGTAGTATTTTTGTCCGGTAGCACTACAGTTATTAGCAGTAACTAAAACAATGTTCTTTTGACTAGTCCGCTCATTGCATGAACTCAGTTTTCTCTTATGCGATACATTTCTACCTCAAAAATGTGTGTGTGTGGGGGGGGGGGGGGAGGGTAAGGGAGTGACCCAATGCTACATCAATCATTCCTATATTTAAAAACAGCCGTGAACGATAGCCTCGCCTGTAGTGTGTACACAACAAACAGCTGCAGAGGTGTTTACACTGTGTGTGCATGAGAATAGCTGCACGGGCGCTTGCACTGCATGTGCATGAGAACAGCTGCACGGGTGTTTGCATTGTGTGTGCATGAGAACAGCTGCACGGGTGTTTGCACTGTGTGTGCATGAGAACAGCTGCACGGGTGTTTGCACTGCGTGTACATGAAAACAGCTGCACGGGTGCTTGCACTGTGTGTACATGAGAACAGCTGCACGGGTGCTTGCACTGTGTGTACATGAGAACAGCTGCACGGGTGCTTGCACTGTGTGTACATGAGAACAGTTGCAGAGGTGTTTGCACTGCGTGTACATGAGAACAGCTGCATGGGTGTTTGCACTGCGTGTACATGAGAACAGCTGCACGGGTGTTTGCACTGTGTGTACATGAGAACAGCTGCACGGGTGCTTGCACTGTGTGTACATGAGAACAGCTGCACGGGTGCTTGCACTGTGTGTACATGAGAACAGCTGCACGGGTGCTTGCACTGTGTGTACATGAGAACAGCTGCACGGGTGCTTGCACTGTGTGTACATGAGAACAGCTGCACGGGTGCTTGCACTGTGTGTACATGAGAACAGCTGCATAAAATATTTTTGTAATGAATAATACTACGTGGTACTTTCAGCTCGACAAAAGCTTTGATTACCGTGGACGATAATACTCTCATATTCATTCATTCAGTAGCATGTCCCTCGCGGAACCTCGCTGCCATAACAACCCTCCGGAAAACCTTCCTATCCTGAGCAAGATGTCCTGCGTCTGATACACCCATCTAGAGATCATCTGCCACATCCTGCACCCATCTTCTCCTTGGCCTTCCTCTTCCTCTCTTCCCAGGCATATACGCCTCCATTATTGTTCTCTCTAGACTTCCATGACGTTTCAAGTGACCAAAATATTTCAATTTTCTTTGTTTTATTGTCTTTACTAGCCAACCCTCTTCAATATTCAGCTCTTGAAGTATGGATGCATTTGTTCTTTTCTTTACCCAAGATATTCTTAGAACCTGTCTGTAACATTTATATTCAAATGCATTTATGCGCTGTTCCGCTTGTTTAGTAAGTGTCCAGGTCTCACAGGCGTATGTTGCAATGGGAAAGATGCTTGCTCTTAAAAATCTGACCTTTGTAGTTCTATCTGTACAATTCCATAATTTATTCAGTTGTTTTAGTCTTTGAAGAGCAATTGATAGTCGCCGTTTAATTTCTTTCATTGTGTCACCATTGTTGGTAACCAGTGACCCAAGATATTCGAAATTTTCCACCACTTCCAATCTTTCCTCATTAACATATATTTCATTCTCCATGGCAGTTTTGTTTGTATGCATTATCTTTGTTTTTGCTATGTTAAGAAATAAGTTATGATTTTCACTATTTCTTTGGAGTGAGGTTAATAAGTTTTCTAAACCATTTTGTGATGTTGATAATAATACTGTATCATCAGCATAACGAATTTCTGGTATTTCATGACCACCGATGTTTAGGGCATCATATTGTTCCTTGTTTATATCATCTTTTACATTTCTCATTATATTTTCGGCGTACATGTTGAACAAATACGGTGACAGCACACATCCCTGACGGACTCCTTGCTTGATACCAAACCAGTCTGATGTCTCTCCATCTATTCTGACTGCTGCTTGTTGGTCTTGATAGAGCATTTTAATGAGCTGCACTATATGTGATGGAAAGCCCATATTCCTCATGATTTCCCAAAGCTTCTGATGTTGTACACAGTCAAATGCTTTTGAATAATCCACAAAACATAAGAACAGATTTACATTAAATTCTCTACACTTCTTTATTATTAAACGCATGTTGAATATATGATCTCTTGTTCCTCTTCCCTGTCTAAATCCAGCCTGAGCTACATTAATCTCTTCTTCCATTTTCTTATGCAGTCTTCTCATTATAATTTTTAGTAGAATTTTACTTGCATGACTGATCAGGGCAATAGTTCGATAGTTTGTACATAATTTCAAGTCACCCTTTTTTTGGTATTGGAATGAAGATAGTTCTCTTCCAGTCTTTTGGCCAAATACCATATTTCCATATCTTTTCACATAATGCATGATAGATTTTTATGCTTTTTATAGATTTTTTATACTCTCATATACACTGTCTAATAAAGCCAGTGATAATATGGGTTAGCTCTCATTAGAAACTCGACAAAATTGTGTGCTACCATATATACTTTCTCTCCATATAGACTCGACAAAATTATGTGCTACCGTAAATACTTTTTCTCATCACATAAACTCGACAAAACTATGTGCTACCATAAAATTTTTCTCTCCATACAAATCGACAAAATGATGTGCTACCATAAATACTTTCTCTCTACATAAACTCGACATGAGTGTGTCCTCATTATTTCCATTCACTACAGGAACATTATCGTACGGGCCAATGACTTCATTATTTGTTGCCGTGCTCTTGAATTTTATATTAAACATCACTTAACATCTACAGGTTTTCGTTTCCTGTTGGCTCCACTTACATGCCAACCACCACCACCACTATACTTTGTGAGCAGCAGTGACTCATTGCCATTTCTCTAAAATAACCATTCATATAACCAGAACGGTCTCCAGTTTTGGATTACATACTTACTTCACATTTATGCGCACTTCCCTTTGGGGATTATATACTTAGCTATAATTTATTGTGCGCATTTTGTCGCCAGGATTATACGCTTGACTCAGATCTGTGAGCGTCAGCGTACTTATATCTAATTTATGTACACCCCAGTCGCTTTTCACTCGTACAAAACTCTTGTCTATATAACTTAGTCGAATCTGCATAGAATCGGATTTATATAGGATGTCGCGTTTCTGGATCCACACAGCAAGAAAATATGTACCTGGAAATGTCGTGGGAAGTAAAGGGAGAAAGGGGCGGTGTGATGCATGGCTGCTACTCCCATCAGTAATCACCAGGCATTCAGAGAATTGCTAGACATGCAATGACTCATGAAAGGCTATGTGCATTTTCCAGTTTCAAAGGAAGAAACGAAAACACACACACACACACAAAGTTCGTTTAAACATCATCATTTGCTAGCTGGCGTAGGAGTTCATGCATCAAACATCTCGGTCTTTATTGTTTTGAATCAATTCCACTGATGATATCCCCTCATGCCACTGTTTTAGGCCATACACTATCAATTCTCTTGGTCTGCCTCTTCTACCAGTGATCTTTCCTGTCATCACGATATTTTTCAGTGCTCTTTTTTTCATCACATAACCAAAGAAATATGTTTGTCTGTTTGTTATTGTTGTATATAATGTTATACTTTCGTTAGCCATTTCCAGGCAATCATTATTAGTTATTTTGGCAGTCTAAGTACGTTCAATACACACTGAAAAACAAATTAGTGTTCAAAGCAAACAAACAGCTTGACAAGTGGAGAACATTCTCGTGATAATAATGGCTGGATGAAGGAAATAGCTAATGAGCTGCTTCTGTTTGAACAATAGAGAACAGTTTAAGCATCAACTGGGAGCATGTGTCGTCTGGCCGACCGTTCACAACAAGAGGCAGGGCACCGACATATACTTCCCCGTGATAAAACCGTAAACCAGAAGCGAAGTTCGCTGTTTAGCGGTAACGCTACAGACCAGCTGACTTGCCAGAACTGGCCAGAACTAAGCCAGACCTAATTTATGGCTGCCTGCTGAATGCATAATGAGGGACACAAATGCAGCCAACTGTCCACACACTATAGATACCTGGAGTTTACAACCTGCTGGAAGGATGACACCTCAGGAGACAGACTGCCACGACCGCGGGGAAGCCTCGGAGAGATATTACACAACAATGTTCTTCAAACCATTTTTTTTAAACTCTCGCTGACCAGGAAAACAGGAGAAATTATTTGGTGTACCACCAGACAGCTAACCGAAAACAGAAACAAGAGCTGGCGTAGTTAGTTCCGATGACAGAAGAATGCAGCGTTTAGATTTAAAAAAAATGATAACAACTGTTTGTATTTAATATTTACAGATTTAATCAAAATACTTCGGGTATATTATGGAAAGATCTGTGGAAGGAGGGATAGAGGAAGACAACGAGAGAAGATTCTTGACAGTTTTTTTTTGCATGGCATTGAGGTGTCTCAGCACACGAACTTATACATGCTTCAGGAGATCACGGATTGTGGAGAGGCATGATTGCCCACGCCAGTTGGCAAAGCACCTAATGATGATGATGATATTCTTATTCCTAAAGCATCTGTTTATTGTGTGCGTCCACGCGTCTTCTTCATCTGCCTTCTATCCCCCAAGGGAGCAGAGGCCCTGAACCAACTCGCGCCAAGTCATGTCCCTCGCCATTGCATGCAGCTCTCGCCCTCTCTTCTCTAGCTCCCTTCTCTGTGAGTTTTTTGGCCTGTCAGTTTTAAATGCCCCTGTAGGTTCCAGTACAAAGACATTCTATTTATATTGTTCTCAGGTTTTCTCAACGTATGTCCCATCCAAAGCCAGTGTCTTTTCTTCACCTCTCGGTTCATCGGAGCTTGCTTATTTCTCTCCCAAATATCAACATGAGTAATTCTATTATGCTATTTAATTTAAACTATTCTGCGCATCCATCAGTTAATGAATATTTCTTGTTTATTAGGAACTTTGTTAGCTGTTTTCCATGTTTCTGATCAACAACAAATGCTCCAACATCCAGTTAAAATCATCGCCCCAAGAGTGAACGCTTTCACCACAAACCATGTGTTACTTTAATATCCCAAAAGGTCGTTATTTTAACTAAAACATGCTGGGGTTTCATAATATCATTACTGGACAGAATGGGTTTAAAAAAACAAGACTTAGGAGAGAATGGGTTAATGTAAGGACAGCACACGTTAATTTAACGACATGATAATTTAATGTAAGAACACAACAAGTTAACGTAAGAACAGGATAGGTCATAAGAAGTCAGACAAATTTCCATGACAGTTGACACAAAAGCGGGAATAGATCATTGAACCACAGAAGATTCCAGCTCAGTGGTAAACTATTCTCATTCTAAACACTGATCCCTGTTTATTGTGCCAGGTCATCAGAACAAACGCTCGAACATAGATTTCATTTGTAACTATCAAAGCAAGAGTTGGTATCCCGCCGATTTCAGCCTAAACTATAGAATACATTCCATTTTTCTTTACGCTCGTCCTTACAAGGGCGTTTAGCACTTTGTGTTGTGGTTTACTTGTAGGTTGCGATATCTGCACCATTCAGGCTACTAAATCCAGTTGAAGAGAATCCTCAAAAAGTCAAATTTAACAACACGCTCATTAAGAGGCAGTTTGTTTATCCTGCACCCCGCCCATTTCCCAACAGACATGGCGCCCCGAGATCCCCACAGAGAATATCGGAAATATGAGCAGGGTGAAGCCACCAGGTCATGTTACCGGCGCTGGTGGAGGGTTGGGAATAACTAATGAGGAATTGCCTTTAATTCTGAGTAACCAAGAGAAGGTTATTTCAGGTCTATCAAGGTATGTATGACTCATTCAACATAAGACAATGAACTTTCTTAGTCGATTCGGTTCCTCTCTCTCTCTCTCTCTCTCTCTCTCTCTCTCTCTCTCTCTCTCTCTCTCTCTCTCTCTCTCTCTCTCTCTCTCTCTCTCTGAGTGTGTGTGTATGTGTGTGAGAGAGAGAATTCTTGGGGGTGTGCTGTGCGCTCACCTATGTTTGACTACATGTTGCCACAGGCGACAGTATTCATTCCTCTTGATACGTGAGAGTGCCAAACACCCACCTACATTAGGCAGCAGGTCACTCCCAACAGTTGGCTATCTCACTACCTGGTACGCTTCTACGGGGTTACTGGATGTGCTCTTGTATACACTCTCTCTTTGAGTCACTAGGTATTCATCTTGTGTACTTCAGCCCTACTGAAGGAAGACTGTAACAAATGGAAGCCCGTCAAACTAGAGGTCGACGTCCAAACATAGCGATAGACAGACATGCAGACAGACAGGTAGACAGACAGACAGACAATAACTACAGGAACTTGATGCATGAAGACAGTTACAACAGTTTGACCATATATTTAAATGTAAGATAGGAATTACAGTGGAAGATAGAATATGTAAATAGAAGTCAGTCTAGAAAAAAAAAAAAAAAAACTGCAAGCATTCCAGGATCAACGTGTTCAGGGCGACCGAACATCAAGATAGAAACGAAACAAATAATTTGTTTACAACACACAAGAACTTACCGATTGTTGACTCATTTCTCCAACGAGGAGTTGGCGTAACATCCAAGACCCCATTGCCTTGTTCCTCACGTGACTTGCACGGATGTATATCCAACCGACTGCAGTGTTGATCTCTCATCGCTTCTGGGCACGCACTAGGAAGCACGACCGTAGACGAACTCGGTAACTGTGAGACTGAAGCGGCACCGCTGGCATCTACCAATGTTACCTGGGCTTCAGCCTTGTCTCCCCACGACTGGCCTTGACTGACTGATGTGTTTTCGTTTTCCACGCAAACACTATGTTCTACAGTCTGGACACCCCCATTCTCCCGCCGCGTTCTAAGAGTATAGGCGCTCCTGGTGTAGTAGTTAGATCCTCGAGACGTCAAGCGGTTTTTGGTTTGAATCACGTCCCTCTCCACCATAACGGCTCCCTCTGGAGTGAGTTTTTTCCGCTCCACGATGGTATCTCGCAGTTCTTCATTGGCATTGCTCGGTGTGCGGAGTTTTTTCGTGCGAACGGTAACGACTTTATTCTGATTGCGATCTTCTGCTACGGCTTGTAGTGTTATGGTGCCGTCCTCTTGCTCACTGACGTCGAACGTGCGTGAACTGAGGAAGTTGTCGTTGCTGGGCTGGCCCGTTCTGGTTGAAGTACTTATGCTACGGTTGATGCCATCAGTTGTGTCCCCTTCATCCAGGCGTGTGTTGGCGGTGTAGGAGCGGCTGAGTAGGTCGTTGTTAACCGTTTCTCCCACGACGCTATCCTTATATGTGGTGCTGGTGTGCGCACCGTTTGTTACGTTATTATTATCACACTGAATAATTTCATCAGTTGTGTAGTTACTCACAGATGTGTGCACCGATTTTTCCTTCGTCGTTTCGGAGACAGCCTGAAGCATTATGTCACCTGTATAAAGATACAACACTTATCAATTTTAACCCAACCATAGCAAATTGTCATTTGTCTACCGGTGTGATCTGCTGACAAAGATATTCCTACAGTCTGTAGAAGACACAACCGGCCTTTATCTAATTTCAGCCATGCGGTATCGGCGGTGCTGTCTCATCACCTGGTTACATCTGAACAAGCCTCTGAGCAAATATGAGACTCTAGTAACAATCTGACATCCCCCGCAGATTTCCGAGCGAGGAGAGAAAGTTAAGCAACACACTTCCCGTAGAGACTGGAGCTACATGCAAGTCACGGCACTGGACTAGGGAGAGACACACTCAGTCCTCATCAACAACCAGCCAGCAACCAACGAGCACATCAACGAGTAGACCAACCAACTTATCAACAAACCAACCAACTAACCACCCAAGCAGCCAACTAACCAACCTTCCAGCCAACTTATCAACAAACCAACTAGACAAGGCACCAGCTAATCAACGTATCAACCAACCAACTAGCCTACAGTCTACCTAACCAGCCAACCAACCAACCAGCCAGCTAATTTATCAACTAACCAACGAGCTTACAAAATAACCAGCTAGGCAGACAACCAACTAGCCAGCCAATAATCCACAAGTAAACCAACAAAGGGACTAGCCAGTCAAACAACCCGACAACCCATTAACCAGCCAGACAAGCAACCAGCCAAATAACCAACCAACGAACAAGTCATCTTACCAGCTTATCAACCAGCCAAATAACTAACCGAAGAATAAGTCAACTTACCAGCTAACCAACTAGTAAAATAACCAACAAACGAACAAGCCAACTTACCAGCTAATGAACCAGCCAAATAACCAACCAACAAACAAGTCAACTTACCAGCTAATCAACCAGCCAAATGACAAACCAACGAACAAGTCAACTTACCAGCTAATCAACCAGCCAAATAACCAACCGATGAACAAGTCAACTTACCAGCTAATCAACCAGCCAAATGACAAACCAACGAACAAGTCAACTTACCAGCTAATCAACCAGCCAAACAACACACCAACCAACCAGCTCACCAACCAATTAATTAACCCACTAGTTGATCAACTAACCAACCAACCAATCAGCCAGCTAAGACCAATTTTATGGAGTTTTTAAACCCACAAAATTCAGCTATCATCAAATTCTTCTACCTGTTTCAGATTAGTTCAGTGGACGCAAGACTTGAGAAATTGTGTCCCCTTACACCTGACAATGAATCATCATCAGCATCATTATCTTCCCCCATTGTTGAGAATCGTCATAAGGAGAAACAGTTTACTAACAAGCTCCAGACGGGACGCACTGACTATTTACTTTCTTACATTCTGTCTGCATGTATAATGGCTTTAATGTCATAATTCAATGTTCTACGGGGACGCCCTCTCGATCTCAGATGTGATCTTTTAGGTGTTGCACCCTCCTTGGTAGCCGTTGTGTCTGCAATCTAAGGAGACAACCAAACTACTTGCTATTCTACTTCTGAATAAATCTGGTGCAGGGTGTCGCTCTCAGTCTGAAAGTATTATTTCTCACTGATCAAGTTGGCGGCCTTCTTCAAGATTTTACCTCAAAGGTGTAACTTCCACATAGTTTAGCTTCGGGTAATAAAGTTGAACTTTGACACTGGTAGCACATTTTCGGTCTGCTTATGGCGATTATATTCTGTTTCTTGGATGTCAACGGTGTCCATTGATATACAAGTGCAATGGCCATTAAGCATCTCGTTTCACTGACACTAATCAGTGAAATATTTCTAATGCGATAAGTCATAGATTAAAAACTGTTCATCGGTAATGTGTGTGTATCACTCCATCATATATTACTAATCAGCATTAGTATGTGCCATCTCTGTGCTGAATGTCAGTTAACAACTAGTTTCCACAACCCCACTGTCACCATCTTCACTGTTTTCAGTCTTCTTTAAATTCATCTCGTCATGTCCAATCACCAGGTGGCCTTATCTTCTAGTCCATCTCTTTAAGTTATCCCTATGCCGTGTTGTTATTTCAATGCTATTCTCTTACCTCTACAGGGTTTAAGTTCAAAAGACGACATCTCGGTTCCTCACCAGCCAGGAACACTTTCTGTTGATAGATTTTAGCATTGAAAGAATGTGCCGATTTTTTATTTTTACAAGCAAGACTCGCTCGCGTTTAGAAAAGTCTTCCACAATAGGAGGATGGGATTTCAGGACCACTGTTGTCATTGCGTGTATTTAACGTATTTCGTATCAGTCGTTCAGCTCTTAACCTATCTGTAATCGTTTAATCCTGTATCCATTGTCTTTTTCTGATGTTCGCCCTCCATGGAAAACGGTCCATAGTAACCTGTTCCCACCAATCCACCTCAATATGTGTACCACTGATGTCCCTCTTGCAGACGTCTTTATATTGTATTAGAGACCGACCTCGACAACCTCTACCCGTCTGTAATTTCCCCATGGAAGGTGTCCTTAGGCTCCATCTTCCGTTATCCAAGTGTGTCCTAGCGATTCGAGTCTCCGAAGGATGAGCACTAAGAAAACTGATTGAGAATAGAGGCAATACTTACTAGAATGCTTCTGTGCGTCGTCTGTCGCGGGCAGTGTGGATGCCTCCTGGGAAAGGACAGAACTGTCAGCTGATTCCAGTCTAGAATCCCTGTCAGACAGGACAGGTTGGCATGATGGCGACAAGGCCGGTGAAATCAGCACTTGCTGGGACCTGACATCCTCCTGTAGATACAAGAGATAGGCAGTGTCAACAGATGAAAGACTTGCTGGGACCTGACATCCTCCTGTAGATACAAGAGATAGGTAGTGTCAACAGATGCAAGACTTGCTGGGACCTGACATCCTCCTGTAGATACAAGAGATAGGTAGTGTCAACAGATGCAAGACTTGCTGGGACCTAACATCATCCTGTAGATACAAGAGATAGGTAGTGTCAACAGGTGAAAGACTTGCTGGGACCGGACATCCTCCTGTAGATACAAGAGATAGGTAGTGTCAACAGATGCAAGACTTGCGGGGACCTGACATCCTCCTGTAGATACAAGTGATAGGTAGTGTCAACAGATGCAAGACTTGCTGGGGCCTAACATCCTCCTGTAGATACAAGAGATAGGTAGTGTCAACAGATGCAAGACTTGCTGGAGCCTAACATCCTCCTGTAGATACAAGAGATAGGTAGTGTCAACAGATGCAAGACTTGCTGGAGCCTAACATCCTCCTGTAGATACAAGAGATAGGTAGTGTCAACAGATGCAAGACTGACTGACTTTTATTCCCCTTTGGCCTGTTACCTGAAGGTTTTCCCTTCTTATGCGGTCGCCCTTTAAAGAGCAGCTGGCATGTTAATTTGTGGTTTACAGGTAGGCTGCGATATCTATACGTTTCAGTCCAACACACCCGACTTCAGCAAATCGCTAACTAGTCGCCGGCTTATACGACATGTTTGCTGGGGGCAGTGGGTCTGTTTGTCTGACCTCCAAGAGGGGTCCCTGGAACCCACACGGGGATCTTAGGCTGGACTCACCCCTGATGCCTGAATCGTATCTGTACAGACCACAGGCAATTCGAAGAACGATGTGCTCAACATCACGTCGACCGCCTTTACTTCCCAGGATATTGTTGATGTTTACTTTAAGTCGGTCGTCCTGGCAGCCAAGGTAACTAATTGAAAAAAAATCCTCCTATGCGGATTCGAACTCTAGACTTTCGCAAGCACCATGTCACCGCGCTACTGTATCATCTTCATCATCATCATCATCATCATCGTCAAGTGCCTTGACAACTGGAGCGGGCCACCCTGCCTTTCCACAATCTGCGACCCGCAGCTGCGTGTATTATTTCGTGTGATGACACCCCTCCATGTCATTAAAAGAGACTGTCAAGAATCTTCTCGCACTGTCTTCCTCTGTCTCTCTTTCCTCCGACCTTTCAAGTGATCATCGCATGGTCCAGCTTCTTCGCCATAGCAGTTCCTCTAGTAACGTTTTAATGACAAATTACTAAACCACCCATTCTGGTGTTGATGAGCATGATCATGAGACTGTTCTTTTTTGCACCCTCCCACCCCCACCCAACACACACACACACCTCACACATCTTAGTGTGTACACAGAGTTCTATAACCGTCTTCACCATGCACAGCCGTCCAGCATCGTTCTATGTTATACAGCGAATTAGCACATCCATGATCACATGAAACACGGCCCAAACAGCTCAAGCAAACAGATATGGAAGATACACTAGCAGGTGTGGAAATTATGCAAATCAAATCTGTTGGTGTCAACATGACCAAGGCGTTGTAAGGAACGGTCGGCGCAATCACCCAGACACAAATCTCAGTGATTCCCCAGTTTTGGGTGGGGCTTTGTTTTAAAACTGACCTGGACTGACAGGTCGATCCAGCCTAAAATAGCAGGGGGGCTTCAAATGGGAACCTCAAAAGTGTAATAGAAATTATAATAATCATACCATTGCCTTATAACTTGTCAATATCGCTGTTAAGAATCTCAAGAGTGTTAAGCACGTGGCATCGCGATGCAGACGAGCGTGGTAACGTCATAATGACAGTTGAAGAACGGCCATTACACTTGCGAACTCAAACTGGCAGGTTTGCAAATCGGAACTCCCCGGAAATGACCAGTGAGTCGAAAAGTTCATTAAAGGCATGGCAGAGGAGGAAATTTTCACTTGGGTCTGCGGCGGTGAGTGGAAAAACGTCTTAACCTGACTTTTTGTTCAGAGGACTGAGTCGATACATGCACTGTGTCGTGTTTTGGCAGGTCCAATAGTTAGATGGTATCATATTTAGATTTCTATTGCGCATCCTACTTGGTCTGTTTAGGCGCTGCGTTTGCAGTTGTATGTTGTAGCTGGTGTTGTATAATTCACTATTCACAAATTAATCGCATGAGTCATAAGTAATATTTCCTAGTTCCTGTATCAGAAGAACTCTTGCTTTTCTTTACTTGTCCTGTTTTCGCAGTCCATTGGGGAACTACTTATTGTCCTAACCACATTTCTTTTCTCCTCCCCCTTCTTATTTTCTCCTTTCTCTTCCTGCTACCTCAATGCGATCTTTGAATTATAAAGATCTAACAAAGTGACTTTATACCGTCAAAGCATCATAAGGAGCTATCAAATAACTTTATACCACCAGAAGACAATAAGGATCTAGTAAACTCACTACGCACACCCAAAATGTTATACGTGTATAGTAAACTATACGTTCAGAACGTCATAAATTTACAGTAACCCCACAACATAGGCTCAGAATGTCATAAGTTACTAGTAAACTCACAACATTAGGCCAAGGTCACTAACACTTCTGGCAAACTAACTACATACATTTAAAACACCATAAGTAAACAGAAATCTCACTACATACACTCAAAGCCACTCAGGTATATAGCAAACTTACTACATACACTCAAAACGTTATAGGTATATAACAAACTCACTACATACACTAAAAACGTCATAGGTATATAGCAATCTTACTACATACACTCAAAACGTTATAGGTATATAACAAACTCACTACATACACTAAAAACGTCATAGGTATATAGCAAATTCACCACGTGCAGTCAAACGTCAGAGCTATATAGCAAACTGACTACATACACTGAAAACATCATATGTATAAAGCAAACTCACTACATACACTCAAAACGTCATAGGTATAAAGCAAACTCACTACATCCACTCAAAACGTCATAGGTATAAAGCAAACTCACTACATACACTCAAAACGTCATAGGTATAAAGCAAACTCACTACATACACTCAAAACGTCATAGGTATAAAGCAAACTCACTACATACACTCAAAACGTCATAGGTATAAAGCAAACTCACTACATACACTCAAATCGTCACAAGGATCTAAAGTGGAAACTCAAACATGAGCCTCAGATCTGTAGCTTCGTACACATGGGGCACCGGAAACCTCGGGCATGCGCACTGTATCAAATGTTCACATGTAATCGCCGGGCAAAGAATGTCAATGTTTGAACAGCCCGTCCGCCCAGTGGGATTATGTACACATGATCTGATCCTGGAGGTGTGGTCCAACACACATGGGCACATCAAGGCTGCCATAAGATGACTTCATTAGTGTGAGGGAATGTAGATCATGTTTAAGCCTAATGGCCATTTCTTCTTCAAAATGGGCTCAAAATCCAGAATGCCCTATTTTTGATATTTGCACTTCTCCCTCTCTCTCCCTCTCTCTCAAACGCTCACACAGGCGCGCAAGCACGCACACCCACACTAGCACATACGCACGCATACAGGAACACATACACGAACGCGCGCACGCACGCACGCACACACGCTTTGTGTAGGTCGACATTCATTGTCACCTCCAGTAGAACAACACAACGCTCACCTGCAGATCGGAGGGTCGTGGGTTCGCTCCCTAGCGGAGCCGGACATTAAAAACAAAAGACCTTTCTCCCAGGTTGACCCAGCCTTGAGTGGGTACCAGGTGCAGCCCTGGGAAGTAAAGGCAGCCAGCGTGATGCTGACCACATTACCCATCTTGTGCCGTTGGTCTATAATATATAGGTCTAGCCCTATATACCCAAATCGCCTGAAAGGCGTGAAAAAGCGTCCTTTACTTTTTTTTAAGAACAACACAGACAATATTTATTGACTGTCACAATAATTCTCGCCATTTGTTATTATGCCACACACGAGCCCGTTGTGCAGTGATGTGGGCTGCGATTATATAAAGTTACAGAAAATAACATGAAAACAGAGCATGCATTTGTCCTCCGTGTGAACACCATTTATGTTTTTCTTCTTCGCGTTCACCTGCTTCAACTCCGGCGCAAAGTTCTGGTTGTTTGTCCACCTCTAGACTTTAATCTTGTTCCAGAACCTGAGTGAGGCAGATGTACTCCGACTTCAAAAGAAGCTCTTAATTAGTCGACTCTTACGACATGCCTGCAGGTGAGGCGGTGGGTCTATTCTTCTTTTCCCACATTTATACCGTTGATATTTACCCAGAGTATTGTCCAGCAGGTGCATTTGTCCTCATTGTAACAGCCGTTTCACTGAAGGAAAACACACAGCGGCTTCTGACTGCACCAAAGCTGACGTAAGGACCATAAGAAAGTGTGCCGTGATCACCTGTATAGAGCAGTCCAGGAACACTAGAGATTACATGCCTAGCGATCCACATGACTGAGGTAGGATAGATGGCGCTCATTATGTTGTGCTATCTAATGCCTGCTACAGTAAATAATGGCAACCGAGTAGCAAAAAATGACAGTAACTGCAAACTTAGGCGACTCAAATCATTTGAATAACGGTTATTTTGAATACATTTTGAGGAACAGGGCCTCTTTCCCCGTCCTCTTCCCGACCAGAATTTAAACGTTGTATTTCTCAGCATTTGTTTTTGCATTTCATATTATTTTGAGTATAGTATTTTATCTGTTTGACATTCAGCTTTTAATAATTTTAATTAATTAATTAATTAATAATAATAATATTAATAATAATAATAATAATAACAACAATGGCGCAATGAAACACGGCCCTTGAGCCCCCTCCGACCCCTAGACAATTAGAGCAACTAGGGATCTCCCACCCCCATGTTTAATGTCTGGCCGTGGGCCTGGAACAAATTATTTTTATACCCCCCACCCCCCCTCCCTAATCATTACTTTTGTTCAATGTTCAACTGCACCTAAAGCTACCACTGCCCCCTGCACAACCCCTCCCCCTTCCCGTCCCCCTCCCTTTCCCATACAATTTGATCGCGGTAAAGAACGCTCCTGGATCGCCCCCACCCCCCACCCCCTCCTTTTCCCTCGGGGGAAGAAGTGATGGGGAGTAAGCGCAAACTTTGGGAAACCCTGCTCTAGCCAATCAACATGTCAAAAGATGCAGGCAACGACAGAGACAAACATTATTGTGCTTAGAGCAATCATTTAAAGTTCGGGATAACCTCTCACACGCATCTACCAGTCATTTGTACATTCCCGTCCAAGCACAACAGATTTCTATCAATCACTGAAACATAATCACATCTAAACACCACACATATCTATCAGCCACTTACACATAATTACATCTAAACACCAAACGCATCTACCAGTCATTTAAGCATTTACATCCAAGCACAACAAATATCTATCAATCACTTACACATAATTACATCCAAGCACAACAGATATCTATCAAACACTTAAACATAATTACATCTAAACACCACACATATCTATCAGCCACTTACACATAATTACATCTAAACACCACACGAATCTATCAGTCACTTACACATAATTACATCTAAACACCACACATATCTGTTAGCCACTTACACATAATTACATCTAAACACATCTATCAGACATTGAAAGATAACTGCACCTAATCATCACACATATCTTTCAGCCGTTTAAATATAATTACATCCAAACACCACACATATATACCAGCCACTTCCACATAATTACACCCCACACACCTGTTAGTCATTTTAACATCACAACAATATATAAACACCACACATTCTACTAATCACCTAAAAGTCTTGATTACACCCAAACATCCTACAATAGTATACAGAAACTTACAAATTACTTCTAGTCACCTCATATTCAGACATTCCCAGTTTTCCTGACTGATTCTCATCCCTGAGATGCTAATCCTACAGAATGCAAATCTGAGAGAAAGAAACAAAAACTTAAAAAAAAAAAAATTTCACATTTTCCTGATAGCGCAAAAAAGAAAGCGTCCCTGGCCGACGTGGCCGCACTTCCCGCGGTGTATGTCGGTAGCTTTGAGTGATCTTTCAACCACATCGGGCTCTGCTATTCTTAGTCGCCACTTGCAGCGGAGGTTTCCATATTTGATAAAGTTTTGCTGAATGGCGGAAAATGGCTACAGAGGATTTAATGAACCAGGTTTGGGTAAGGGACTGTTCGTGAAAGAATAGGTTGAACTAGGGATAGTGGATGTGGTACAATCAATAATGGGGTAGGCGTAACCACAAACGACTGGCTTTTATAGGTACTTCTACAATTATCAAACAGAGTGAATTTTAAAACCCTCCTGCCCTCTCCTACCCCTCCCCCCTCTTGGTTCTCTACTCTATAATGGCGCAGACATACATAGTTTATGACGGCGTGTATATTATATTTTACGGTGCATGCCTGGTTGTCATGTGCGTGTATAGTTTATAGAGCGTATATATAGTTTTAAGGCACAAATACATAGTTTTGGTGTTGAATATTGTATAGTTACATAAACGACAATGCTGTTTCATATCAGAGATAAAAAACGACACTAATGTTTCGTATAAGAAATAAATAAGGCAGATGTACATGTAGAATTAAGGTATCCCCTTCGCTTGTAGTCGTTATACCTCCACTTGTACAGGTAGTCATTCACTGGCTACTTTTACAGATAGTAATCGTCTGTATACTTGCACATGTAATCATTCACTAACTACGTTTACATGTAGTCATTCTCTGTATGCTTGTAAAGACAGCCAGTCTCTGCCTACTTGTACATGTAGTCAGACAGTTCACCGAACTTAATCCTCGCCAGGGGCGCCATTATTTAGTGTCTGCGAGGAAACTCGACGAGCAAGGGAACTGGTTACCTCATGACTTAATATCATGGGTTAGACAAAAATACTTGATCAGCTGTTCTTTTACCTTTACGTCTATTCTTTTGTTGACATGCCCTCGAAATGTAATTTATAGTTAAGGACCTTTTCCACGCCCTAGGGCGTATTGGGCATATAGGGCTAGACCATTATAGACCAATCGTCATCGATGGGTGATGTGGTCAACATCACATCGACCGCCTTTACTTCCCAGGAAAATACCTGGCCCCCACTCAACGCTGGGTCCACCTGGGAGTCAAGGTCACTTTTTTGAAGAAAATTCGATTCCGTCAGGAAGCGAACCCACGACCTTGCGGTCCGCAGGAGAGCTTCTAGCCACTACACCACGGCAGTTCCCTAAAATATAACGTAACGTTGTTGTTTGTTGATTCGTGTGAACAGTTTAAATGTCTGCTGGTGTAGCAGCTGCAGTTGTCGGGGCCAGGCCGTTTGTTTCCTTCCATGCTCAGGATATTCTCAACATTGTTCTCAAACAAACACATCTCCAGTGTCTTTAGTTTCCTCTTCTGACTTACTGCCTAGTGTTGGCATCCATGCACAACGTCTCTAGTTTGTTCACTATCTCCTGACTTACTGCCTAGTGTTGGCATCCATGCATAACGTGTTTAGTTTGTTCACTATCTCCTGACTTACTGTCTAGTGTTGGCATCCATGCACAACGTCTCTAGTTTGTTCACTATCTCCTGACTTACTGTCTAGTGTTAGCATCCATGCACAACGTCTTTAGTTTGTTCACTATCTCCTGACTTACTGTCTAGTGTTGGCATCCATGCACAACGTCTCTAGTTTGTTCACTATCTCCTGACTTACTGTCTAGTGTTGGCATCCATGCACAACGTCTCTAGTTTGTTCACTATCTCCTGACTTACTGTCTAGTGTTGGCATCCATGCACAACGTCTCTGGTTTGTTCACTTTCTCCTGACTTACTGTCTAGTGTTGGCATCCATGCACAACGTCTCTAGTTTGTTCACTATCTCCTGACTTACTGTCTAGTGTTGGCATCCATGCACAACGTCTCTAGTTTGTTCACTATCTCCTGACATACTGTCTAGTGTTGGCATCCATGCATAACGTCTCTAGTTTGTTCACTATCTCCTGACTTACTGCCTAGTGTTGGCATCCATGCATAACGTCTTTAGTTTCTTCACTATCTCTTGACTTACTGCCTAGTGTTGGCATCCATGCACAACGTCTCTAGTTTGTTCACTATCTCCTGACTTACTGTCTAGTGTTGGCATCCATGCACAACGTCTCTAGTTTGTTCACTATCTCCTGACATACTGCCTAGTGTTGGCATCCATGCACAACGTCTCTAGTTTGTTCACTATCTCCTGACTTACTGTCTAGTGTTGGCATCCATGCATAACGTCTTTAGTTTGTTCACTATCTCCTGACTTACTGCCTAGTGTTGGCATCCATGCATAACGTCTTTAGTTTCTTCACTATCTCTTGACTTACTGCCTAGTGTTGGCATCCATGCACAACGTCTCTAGTTTGTTCACTATCTCCTGACTTACTGTCTAGTGTTGGCATCTAAGCACAACGTCTCTAGTTTGTTCACTATCTCTTGACATACTGCCTAGTGTTGGCATCCATGCACAACGTCTCTAGTTTGTTCACTATCTCCTGACTTACTGTCTAGTGTTGGCATTCATGCATAACGTCTTTAGTTTGTTCACTATCTCCTGACTTACTGTCTAGTGTTGGCATCAATGCGCAACGTCTCTAGTTTCTTCACTATCTCCTGACTTACTGCCAAGTGTTGGCATCCATGCGCAACGTCTCTAGTTTGTTCACTATCTCCTGACTTACTGTCTAGTGTTGGCATTCATGCATAACGTCTTTAGTTTGTTCACTATCTCCTGACTTACTGTCTAGTGTTGGCATCCATGCACAGCGTCTCTAGTTTGTTTACTATCTCCTGACTTACTGCCTAGTGTTGGCATCCATGCACAACGTCTCTAGTTTGTTCACTTTCTCCTGACTTACTGTCTAGTGTTGGCATCCATGCACAACGTCTCTAGTTTGTTCACTATCTCCTGACTTACTGTCTAGTGTTGGCATCCATGCACAACGTCTCTAGTTTGTTCACTATCTCCTGACTTACTGTCTAGTGTTGGCATCCATGCACAACGTCTCTAGTTTGTTCACTATCTCCTGACTTACTGTCTAGTGTTGGCATCCATGCACAACGTCTCTAGTTTGTTCACTATCTCCTGACTTACTGCCTAGTGTTGGCATCCATGCACAACGTCTCTAGTTTGTTCACTATCTCCTGACTTACTGCCTAGTGTTGGCATCCATGCACAACGTCTCTAGTTTGTTCACTATCTCCTGACTTACTGCCTAGTGTTGGCTTCCATGCACAACGTCTCTAGTTTGTTCACTATCTCCTGACTTACTGTCTAGTGTTGGCATCCATGCACAACGTCTCTAGTTTGTTCACTATCTCCTGACTTACTGTCTAGTGTTGGCATCCATGCACAACGTCTCTAGTTTGTTCACTATCTCCTGACTTACTGTCTAGTGTTGGCATCCATGCACAACGTCTCTAGTTTGTTCACTATCTCCTGACTTACTGTCTAGTGTTGGCATCCATGCGCAACGTCTCTAGTTTGTTCACTATCTCCTGACTTACTGTCTAGTGTTGGCATCCATGCGCAACGTCTCTAGTTTGTTCACTATCTCCTGACTTACTGTCTAGTGTTGGCATCCATGCACAACGTCTCTAGTTTGTTCACTATCTCCTGACTTACTGTCTAGTGTTGGCATCCATGCACAACGTCTCTGGTTTGTTCACTATCTCCTGACTTACTGTCTAGTGTTGGCATCCATGCACAACGTCTCTAGTTTGTTCACTATCTCCTGACTTACTGTCTAGTGTTGGCATCCATGCACAACGTCTCTAGTTTGTTCACTATCTCCTGACTTACTGCCTAGTGTTGGCATCCATGCGAAACGTCTCTAGTTTGTTCACTATCTCGTGACTTACTGTCTAGTGTTGGCATCCATGCACAACGTCTCTAGTTTGTTCACTATCTCCTGACTTGCTGTCTAGTGTTGGCATCCATGCACAACGTCTCTAGTTTGTTCACTATCTCCTGACTTACTGTCTAGTGTTGGCTTCCATGCACAACGTCTCTAGTTTGTTCACTATCTCCTGACTTACTGTCTAGTGTTGGCATCCATGCACAACGTCTTTAGTTTCTTCTTCTGACTTACTGCCTAGTGTTGGCATTCATGCACAACCTCTCTAGTTTGTTCACTATCTTCTGACCTACTGTCTAGTGTTGGCATCCATGCGAAACGTCTCTAGTTTGTTCACTATCTCGTGACTTACTGTCTAGTGTTGGCATCCATGCACAACGTCTCTAGTTTGTTCACTATCTCCTGACTTGCTGTCTAGTGTTGGCATCCATGCACAACGTCTCTAGTTTGTTCACTATCTCCTGACTTACTGTCTAGTGTTGGCTTCCATGCACAACGTCTCTAGTTTGTTCACTATCTCCTGACTTACTGTCTAGTGTTGGCATCCATGCACAACGTCTTTAGTTTCTTCTTCTGACTTACTGCCTAGTGTTGGCATTCATGCACAACCTCTCTAGTTTGTTCACTATCTTCTGACCTACTGTCTAGTGTTAACATCCATGAACAATGTTTTATAAAACCGTGACAAAAATTGCCTAGGTGTGTTTTAAGATGGGTCGATCCACAGCCCGTTACGAGCAGCCCCTCAGATTGGGTCTACGCCCCTCCTTCCTGCTTGTGATTAACCCGGACTAACGCCTTCACAATAAATGAAATTAGGCAAGAACCGACATCCCTGCACTCAGGGCATGTCGATACGTGCTCCGTATCCTCCCTCATTAACCAACGAAGAGTTCTCGTACTCATGGTGCCAGTTACAACCTGGCTGAAATGAAACTTCAGCTGTTTTTCTTCCAACATACAGGAAGTCGCCAAGCCCCTTTGTTCTCTCCCATACGCCTAGATAAAAAAAAAGAACTAACTATACAATATTGCGGCCGGGCTTACATAACCTATATCTGACCGAGCATAGTAACAGAAAATGACTGAACTTCGCTAAAGCCCCCACATACAATAAAGCGATTATTTAAAAAAAATGAAGCTGATCATCTTGGAGTTTCTATTAAGTTGCGTGCGCGAGGATGTGATGTCACATTGACTATGCTTTTTCCTAAAGTGTAGCTGTATTAGACGACAGACTGAAACAAAGATTTTGCTGAGGGATTTGGTTCAAATGAAGCGAGACAATGAATGAAGTTGAACGTCCCAATGAGCAATTAACACATCTTGACACAAAGTGTCACTATTCGGAGTAACACCAGGTGTAAGTCCCAGAAATCCCGTTTAAAGGAAAGTTACATTAGGGCCCCCGACGGTAAGGATGTTACCTAAAGTCCAGCTGGGGTAGGGCTAGAGCTCTTATCTATATAACATTAAAAACTATACCCCATATCGGGACAACATGATGCAGACAGGAAGAAACGAGCTAAAGCAACGCACTGACACGGATAAAAGTTATCAAATAATTTCTTCCCCCCGGCACTAACAAGCTGCGCCACCTATTGGCCAACACGCGACTTCTGTACACAGATGGAGC